AATCCCCTCTGTTCATCCTAGATAAGCACGTGTCCATTGGACTCTCACGCCTCTGGGATGGGCGCCCCCTATCTCCCTGGGCAGCCATTCTGCGGTGGGCTTATCAGGCTGTTCTCAAAGTTCTTCCTCGCACAGGGCCCCCCCAAAGCTGCAGTGTCTGTGCCTGCACCCCCGAGACCACTGGTCCCCAGGGGCCCTCCCTGCTGTTCCCTGCCCTTTCCTCTCTGCTCCTTCCTGGGCATGGGCTCATCTCCCTGCCACTTGGAAGAATGTTCCAGCAGCTGGCAAGGCTGGTTCCAGGTGGCCTTGGGCAAGTGTCTTCCCTGACTCGGCCTGTTTCCTCCTCTGGAAAAGTGCCAGGGCAAGAGGCGACCCGAAGCACCTTCCCTCTCTGACCTCTGTGGGGGATGAGCTCTCGCAGGGAGGCCTCAAACCCTTAGTGAAAACCTCCTCTCAGTGAAAATGCCAAACATTCCTTCAGCCAAATTGGACTCAGAGGACAGCAGGTCTAATGAATCCTGGGGCTTTGGCCTCCCCAGGGGAAGCCACTTGAACTTTTAATGATGCTGGAGTGGAGAACTTTCTCCTGCCGCTTCTGGGGCCCTGGGAGCCCAGCTGCCTTCCCTAGGGCGCCTGCTAAGGAGGGAAGTCTGCTAGGAGGGGGAGGAACTTTCTCCTTCTGAACATCTCCAAGACTTGCAGGCCACAGCAGCCACCGGAGGGGCAGAGCCCTGCAGCCTGCAGACCGAAGGACTTCAGTCAGCACAGAGGGCCTCTCAGAATCACCCTGACCCCCCCTCACTGAGAGTTGGGGAAACTGAGGCCAGAGAAGTGAAGGGACTTATCTAAGCTCCCCCAGCTTTGTGGGCCACACTATCTAGCAGGCAATCAAGGCAGCACTATTCTTGGAGGGAGTGTATCCAGAGTGAGAGTCTGAGCTCAGCTGGGGACCTTCCACAGAGCTAAGAGGGAGGAGGCTGTGTGGATGTGGATGACTTGAGGGAGCATGGATTATGGGGAGCCCCCACCCCTCTCACACACATACACAGAACATTATTTTTTTAGGTGCAGGGTGACTCCTCACCTGGACAGACAATAGGATCCCAAGGTGAACATTTTACTAGATGCTTTGGGCACTGCAGGGAAGGTGTTGAGAATTCAAACGTGACTGAGACCTTCTTGAAGGCCTGACTGGACACAGAGCTTGTAGGACCGATGACTTTAGAGGAACCTGTGGCTGTATTTAGGGATCCCCTTCCTCAGAAAAGCTGCCCAGTGGTGCTGTCGTTGTTTCTCCCATAGGATTGGGTCTTCTGCACACTCCACAAGCAACCTTCTTAGCTGTTAAGGACCAGGGTTCCAGACCACATGGCTGATGGATTAGCCTTTTGGAGTTCACATCATTTAGCTTTATACCCATAACTTTTCAGGGTGCACAGACTTATGCATGTTCTTGCATGTGTCTATGTACCTGTAAACCAACATTGCTATGTGGGCAAACTCATGCATTGTAAAATATGTGCACACACACTCATGCACATATCACAGGCGCATACAAGTTTCAAACAACCTCACAAACTTGTGCTTATACTAGCGGCAAGTGGTTCTTGGTTGTCACATTAGCAACAATTGTTTTTACTAATTGGTGGCACCACCTAGTGGTCACACCATAAATAAATCCGTTTCATATTCTGTCCCGAGAAAAGTTACGGTAACCTTGATTTTTGTTTATAGATCATAATTGGAACCCATGTGGTTAAATCCTCTGAGAGGGACTGAGAGGTGGAACTGAACCAGGCGTGATGCCTCCCTTGGAAAGCTGACCCTCAGTGCCCTGCTCCCCAGAATCCAACCTGAGCAACAGGAGGCCATGAGAGGGTAACAGAGGCAGAAAGGGGGGAGCCTTTCAAGGACTTTTGCCCTAAAAATCTGAAAAACTACTGTTAGGCTTTTGTAGAACAATTTTCAAAGAGATAATAGCCTCCTGAGTGGTTCCCAAACTATCCCTGGTTGGATAGATGAGCTGATACGTGATAAAGCAAATCTTTAGCAATTGTAGAAACGAGGTTTTACGTATATGGCTTATCCATGCTACAATTTTTTTCAATCTTTCTATGTGTTTGAAAATACTCTCTCTCACACACAAATGTTTGGGGAGGAGTAGGTAGTAGTTGGGGGGAGTAGGAGAAGAGAGTTTTCTAGACTGTCCCATGTGGTAGTCACCATCCACATGGCTATGAGTACAAAGAAATGTGGCTAGTCTGAGTTGAGAGGTGCTATGTATGTGATACAGACTCTAAATTTCAAAATCTTAGGACACAAAAGAACGTAAAATACCTCATTAATAATTTTTTATCTTACTTATATGTTGAAAGGACAATTTTTGCTATATTGGGTTAAATAAAATATATTATTGAGATTAACTTCACCTGTTTCTTTTAACTTTTCTAATGTGGCTACCAGAAAATTTTAAATTACATACTTGACTTGCATTGTATTTCTACTGGACAGCGCCCTCTAGGGCATCCCGCCACCACTGGTCCTGTTCCTTTGCTCACTCACACCTGCGCCAGGGAGGCAGAGATGAATCAAACACAGTCCAGACCTCAGAGAGCCGTAGGTCAAGCCCTGGGGACAAGCCAAGACAGAGCGGAGAAGACCAGGTGATTTCAGTATCTTGGGAACCTCAGTGGTTTCCTTGCCTGTGAGTGTTCCCTTGGTGCCTTTTGCATTAGACTTTTGGATTCCACCTTCCTAGAGAACCCTTGAAAATACATGGGGGTATTTGAGGTTGTCAGGATTACTAGGAAGGTGGGGTCAGCGCTGCGCATGCAGAAACCAGGGATGATAAACACCCCACAAGGAGCAGGAGGATCCCACATGAGGGAACATGTCCAAAATGCCAGGAGTGTGCCTGCTGAGAAACCCAGAAGTAGAAGAATGGCACACTTGTGCCTGCCTGCTGGACAAGGACTCCGAGGCCTGCTCTCCAGCCCACACAGGGCAGCACCGTTATGTCTCTGGAGGCAAAAACGAGGAGCTTCCTGGGGTACTGAGTCACATAATCTAATTCTGTATCTTCTTAAGGGTGGGAAAAACACCCTGGGACAGCCAAGGACACCCAAGGGCTTGGTTCCCAGCAAAAAACCCATCTGATTATGAAGACTGTCAATGGCAGTATTCAATTAGCCCAGCCTAATTGGCCCACTGGGAGCCTGTCTCTAGAGCTCAGGGTGCCAGCCTCCAGCATCAGGCCCTAAAATGCCACAGGAACAGGAATCTGGG